ACAAGGTGCAGAGGCCTCCATAAAGCTGGAGGCTAGGGTAGGGCTCGCAGGGCAGAGACGCGCCGGGCTGCCGCTGAGCTCTTTCCCATTTGCCTTTCCTTGCTTATCAACTTCCTTTAAACCCAGCTCTCGACTTCTTCTATTTTGTCTCAAAGAGGATGAGTGTGAGGGCACGCGGCGCTGCTGCGGGCGCGCTGGCCTCTGCTTCCCCTGCACTTTTTGCTTCAAGAGCTGACCTAATGGGTTTGCTTCCCTCCTGACTTCCCTGTCCTTTATAGTTGTTATAATTTCCTGTCATAGCTACTTTTTTCCGTCCTCCCCTCCCCACACCTTGCAATATTGCAGGGTTCTGCTGATGCGCTCTGACTGCAGCCTGCCAGATTTGTCTTCGTCCCAATATATTATTTATGATGCTATTATTCCTCGCCGTGGCCTGCCAGCCACGCTCTGCCTACAGTCGCTGCCCTTCCAAGTGCATCATGGCCAGCCAAGGAAAGCACTGCTCTAATTGAATTAACAGTGGTGCTGTTAGCCTTAATAGAGTTTGTCGTGAAACACTAAGCAGATGTGACAAGGATCTCGGTTAGTCATATTTTTGTCCCTTCTCCCAGCCACGGTAACTGTTAGCCAGATCAGTGGGGAGGATGATTCCTCTTTGCTGAGCGGTAATTGGGCTTACCTGGACGTACCGCAGTCGCTTCGGCTGAGGGTTGAAATAAGCCAAAGACTCGAATAGCAGAAAGTTTTACATTCTGATAAAAAAAACTTGGCTAATTAAAAGGAGATGCAGATGGTATTGCCACCTAGCAATTTTCACCTCACTTACTCTGACTCCAATTATAGCCTTTCACTACTGACTTACAATGTTTAAATTACATTTTTTTGATGACTATTTACCTGTTTCTGTTCATGCAAAGATGTCTAACGCATCATCCTTTTCCTGCACAAGGCATGTGATGGTAGGCTGAAAAGAGAAGTAACTCCATTCTTTAAAAAAAGAAAGAAAATGATAATAAAAAGACCACGCGGAGGCTCATTAGCAGCCGCCCGCGTCGGCAGGAAGCGAATGATTATTGCACAACACAATGCCTGCTTTTCACACTCGTTGGTTGGAGCAGGTGCCATGCTTTTGGGAAATGCACTTTAATTGGATAAATGGAAAACCGGCCTTAAGTAAGCTGGCCTAACCCCCTTTCTTGGCTTATTGTTATTTTCTTGTGACGCTCTGAAGAGGCTGATGTTGCTCCCCTGGGGACTTTTTCCTTTTCCCAGAGTAAATCGTGTTCACACGAAGCGGTTAGACAAGCAGCTGCCAAGACGGTGTGAGATTTGCTTGATCCTGCCTTAATGCAGTGGAGTGGAGAAGACGACCACTTGAGAGTCCCCCGCATTGCTTGACACGAGCTTTACATGCAAGCTGTGGGGAGAAAAGAGTCGACGTCCAGCCCTTGAGAGACCAGAAGGTAATCCTGCCAGGGCTGATTTCAGGCCATAACGATTTGAGATTGCATACCACAAAGGATTTTGGCCATCAGCTGAGCCGCTGTGCTGTTCCCAGCGTTGATGCATTACTGTTGTGTCATCCCCTTTCATACAAAACCCGCCCTGTTGATCGCCATCCTGCCTGGCAGTAAAGGGCCCCGACCTGCTCCTGCCTTTCCTGGGCCAGACGCAGCATCCAGTCTGCATTTTCTCATGTAAGGACCGGTCAGAAGCAAAGCATCCCTTGTTGTACAAGCTACGATGGGACAGGGTTTGCAAAAGGTCACCGAAACAAGTTTAAAAAGCTGCATCTTTTGGAGGGAGATGGGGGACATGAAAGTGGATCAGGATTTATTTACAAAAAAACCTTTTGTTTTCAGTCATTCAGCTACCTTTATTTAAATTTTTTTTTGTAAAAAACATGCGTGGAGATTAACGCAGATAGGCAAGGAACAGTTCAGCCTCCACAATGCCGTGCTAAATGAGGGCAGCATGAGTACCATTAGTGCAATGAGCACTGTGCCATTAACTTGATTAAACTGCTCAGAGCACCCCTGTCTTCTCCTGGGTGTCTTCCTCTCTGACCCTGCAAACGCCGGGAGTTTCTGCCAGGCGGCAGCAGTGGTTCCTGTAGGTGACTCGTATCCTTGGCGAGTTGGCAGCTTGGAGCGCAGCCCTCTCCTCTCTGCTCAGAGCTGCTGTACGGGGTCAGCCCTAGGGAGAATGATGTGCAGCGGCCACTTCATGCCATCCCTGGGAGCAGAGGGGGGGAGGTGTGAAGAAGGAAGATGACTTTAAGGGGCAAGGTTTGCCCCTTCCCTTGGGAAGCAATTTGTGGCCACGTGGGCAGAGAGAGCGGTTACAGAGGCCGCAGGGCTCAAGCATCGAGGCATCCCCCTTCCCGCCTGCCCTCCTTCCCAGCCTTGCTCTACCATGTCCTGCCTCCTGCTGGAAATGGCTGGGTGAGCTTTGCAAGGAGGCAGCCATTGCCACTGCTAGGCCAAGTGCTGCCGGGGACTCTTGGTCTCTCTCCTCCGGGCCGAGCACGATTGCTGGGAATGACTGAGAAACTGTCCGGAAACAGAACATGCAGCTCACAGATCGAGTCAGCAGGCCCTGGGATTATTTAACGTTAAAAGAAAGCGGAAAAACCAAACAAGCAATGAGGAATTGGGAGCAAGAGCTGCCGGTATTAGAACCAGCAGCCTGTGACTGGATATAGAGGAACAGTGTGAAACTTTTAATTTTTGAAGTTTCCCTAGGTGCTGCTTACATGCAGTGTTTTAAACAAAACTGGACAAAATAACTCCACAGAGGCTCAGTTGTTGGCCTGAGAAGACAACACAGCTCCAGGTACCTAGAGAGCTTTTTCTTTGCGGCTCGCAGGAGACGACACGCGGCGCCCTCGGCTCCCCAGGTGCAGCGTCGCCCCGGGGGGACCTGCCAGGCCCCGGACCCAGTAGGGCATCAGCACTCGCCGCCCTCACTCGTGCCTGCCTCACGCACCCGTGTGCCTGGCAGCCCCTGCTCGAGCGACCAGAAGGGCAGCTGGCCCGGGGAGGCCAGTGGCCTTCAGGGCACAGAGGGGGACAGGGAGCTGCGGGGGAGCCTCGCGCTTTCCGCTGACGAGATCGCGTCGAGGCTTCGCGAGGTCTCTTCCTCCACGGGGAAGACCAGCACGTCACCGCTTTCTGCCGAGCCGCTGCCGGGATTATCGGTGGTGGGAGGTGGGTGGCGGCGACGTATTCGAGACTGCACGCAGAGGGCTGTAGGGCTGGAATAAGGTGTGTTGGCACAGCGGGGAGCCCTGCGACACATAAAGCTCCTGTCGCAAGCCAAGTTTACTGAAGTAGCTGCGCATTTAGCCACTTTAATGCCTCTGTGGAAGTGGTCCACGTTTACAGAACTGTAATGTGGACTATGAGGGTATGTTTTACTAACTCCTGGACCCAGGGAGGTTATATACGCTTTTGTTATCTGCTTACTACCATTTTCTTGCAAAATTAAAGTTTCAGGCAACATCCTCTACATCAGGCCTACAAATCGCAATAGATTTATGCCTGCTAGAAGAAAACACAGACTCCCCCATTATTAATATGTAAAACATGGAGATGAAGTCACAGCTGAATGATGATCTATTTTGGTGGACCATGCATGCTTAAATCCCAGCCTTGATCTCTTAAACTATCAAGTCTGCCATAAATATTTGATGATGAACAAGCTCATAAAAAGAAAATGCAGAATATGAATAGAGGGAGAGCAAATGTGTGATTCAATTTTTAATTACCATCACCTCACGCTAAAGTCAAGTTCATCTTCTGCAAGAGACAGAAAATAACAAAGAATTTTCTTTTTTACTGTCGCCTGATTTAAAAGATCAGCATCACATCTGTTTAGCTTTTGAAGGAAAAGGATACGTCATCATGGAAACAAAAGAACCAGGACACAAGAACTAAGGTAGCACAGTCTGGTTTTATTACCTTATGTAATCAAGAGCTTTTCTTTCCCCTTTTCTTTTCCTTCTCTCTTTTCCTTTCTTGCCTTTTTTTTTTTTTTTTTACAACATACATTAAGTTGTGAATCAGATGTTAGGGGGAACGTGGAAACGAAGGGAAACTGGTGACATCACAATATTTTACAGCTTTACAACAAATGAGAGTCTGAATTTGTTGCATCTACCAGTGTATAGCAAGGGTGAAAAGCAAAGGCACACGTAGGTTTATGAACCCTTCAGCCCGAAGGGTGGATGGGGCCGGGGGCTGGGGAAGGACTAAAACGGAGGACCCACTGAGTACAAAATGAGCATTTCAAGGTCAGCCCAGTAACCAGCATGCTGTGTATTACAAAGGCAGATCGCTGAACAAGCTGTTGCTGTGATTATTCATTTCTGCATTTTGACAGAACGTTTTGCTGCGTAATAGCAATGGGCTCTGCACGTTTGGTACTCGAGGGGTTTGGCGCTCGGTAAAAAGGTTGCGCGTTGGTTCTTTAAAAAAATGACCTTGCTACCTACTATTTTCAAAGGGTTTTTTAGTTTGTTTTTATTAAAAACAACAACATTGCTTTGGATACAGATCTATCTACTCCAGTCTGCATAGTTCACTAAGGGTGAACAAATCTGTTTCATAAAAGAAGCCATGATGAAATGAAAGAACATGCAAGCACCCTTGTTACACACTTTGGTCTAGACCATCCAGACTTTCTATATACCATCTACAAGCTAGTGGACTTGAAATCTTTCTTTTCAATCATTCAGGAACAAAATCAAAACCCTGAAAAACAAATGAAGTATAAAATTTTAAGAAACAAATTGAAACAAAACAATCACCTTACTCGACAATACTGTCCAGTAGATAGATATATAAAAGAAAAAGCTCAGAAACAAACCCCCTCATTTTCTACAGCATGTTGACACAGTTATTATAACAGATTAAAAACAAATCTACCTTTGTGCATAAACTCAAAAACTGGAAAGGAACTTACACACCTGCGCGCGCACACACAGACACCCCCCGCCGCGCACACACACACACACACCACCTATATGCTCAGCCACGCCAAAGAAAAAAGGGGGAAAAAAAATCATTTCCTCCAAAGAAGTGTACGCAGCATCCTTCCGGCCAGCTTTCAGGCAGCAGGGAGCCGCAGCAGGAGCCCGCCTGCCTGCTCCAGCTGCCCGAGCCCTGCGCCCGTCCCCAGCCAGGGGACTGCGGGCCGCGGACGCTTGTCACCGCTCTGCTGCCCTGCTGACGTGCCGTGAGGGGGCAGAGGGAGGTGGGAAGGCAGAACCAGCACCCAGAGCGCGGCGGCGCCTTCGCAGCGACGCGGCTTGCGGGTGGCCTGAGGGCAGGATTGGCACGACTAGAGAGTCAAACTGAATCGGAGGGTACGGCACTAGCCTAATTTCTCGAGGGACATGGCATTATGACAATAACCAGTACATTCTTCAAATTGAACGTCTTTACTCCAATTCTTGAGGGGGCTTGGAGGAGGGAGGATCAATAAATATTTGCGTTATTCAAAGGGGAAAAGAAAGAGGTTTTACATACTACAGCTCACAATTATACACAACTGAGGGTGTAAGGCACAAATTTACATGTGGAAGAAAACAGGCTATTCACAGATATATTCCCACGAAAAACCCGTGTGATAAGACCATAATTTATGCATGGTAACAGCCGGCATATTAACTAGTTCACACCGTTTGTGGATTTTGTTTGCCGTCTCACATGCAAGGTGAAATGAGATGGCACATCACAAGCTGGTGCCTTCACAGAAAGTATTAGCTACTGACAAAGCCATGTTGATAGCAATGGTGCACAGATGTGCGGCTTTTAAGAGTTTCTCTTGCGGTTGCGTTAGAAGTTATGAACTTGGGGGACTTGTTTGTTGCTGTCTTAGGTCAGAGGCCCAGCCAGCAAATTAACTGAGAGACTTAAATAAATATTCCCCTTTTTTTTCAGCTAATCAGACAGTCCAAACACAAAGTTCAGAATTCCAGCTCCATCTTATTTAACTCAGTGAATTTATTGGAAAAATAAAAGAGTTTTAATTACTCCAGTTAATGGGTTCACGTTAAATAGGTATAACTTTCAATGTACTTTTCTGAAGAGCTGCTCATAGGATGATATGCAGAAGTCATTTCCTTAGGAAAAACAAAAGTTGAACAATAAATAATAGGAGTTACTTGCGTTAACAGTCACATGTTATTCATTAAAAGAGAAGAGTAGCAGAAATCTATGACATAGTTTGCCCAACATGGCATTTAACTGCTATAACCAAATGGCTGTAACACTGATGGGCATTTCACAGTACCTGCACATAGTAAACTTCTGCCATTGTTAAGTCAGAGTTAGCTTTATCAATGGATTCTTTTTTTTTGTTTTTTTGTTTTGTTTTGCTTTTGTTTGTTTTGATTTTCAGAGCACTTCCCAGTTCAGGGCTGCACTGTGCAGTTGGGGGGAGGGGGTGAAATGTCACAGTCATCTTTCACCTGTGTGCTTTTGGCTCAATGTTTGTGATGGAGAGTTAGTCTTTTGAGCAAAGAACTGGCGGGTTGTGGGGGCAAGTCCTGCAATTGCAAACCTTTAACCATGGATCATATGGCTCGGGTTTAAAAAAATATTCCACTTTTCCCAGAGAGCAGAATCAACACATCCTCAGCTTAGCAACAACCGTCTTCTCAGAGGAGCGAGCGATACAGTTGCAGAACACTTTCAAGGGCAACCTCTGCTTAATTGCTGTTCTCCCCCCCACACACCCCACTGTAATTATGTACATGCATCATTGGGCTTCATGGATGTGGAGAGCGGGGCAAAGGAAGGTTTGGGAGGTACGTCTGGCTTTAGCGAGGGTGTACGTTTCAACCCCGACCTTGTCAGCGAGTTGTATGCAGTGAGACTAGGCTGTCTAGATACAGTCACAGCCTGTGCCTGAGCAGCGTGGACTTGTATAGAGTCCACTCGCTGCGGGGCAGGCGGGGGGTTGTCGCCCCTGCCGAAGCTCTGATTTCGGGAAAGGTGGGACGAATTGGAGGAGTTAGTATTGTTTCTTTTGAGAGTCGATGTCTGGTGACTTCTCGTGAGCGAGTTCGTAGGGTAGTTTCTCTTGTAGTCCACACTGTAAGCAGAGGAATGCATTTCCAGCCGCTTGCTCAGCCCACTCTGAGATAGAGAGGTGCTTGGGGGCCCCAGGGAAGCTTCCCGCTGGGGTACTTTCGGTGGCATGCTGTCGAGATTTTCCACCAGGTTAACCCCATGGTTGGGGCTTTTGCTACTGAGATGGTCCTTGATGGTTTTGTACTCAAGGGTGGCGTTCTGGTCCTCCACAGCCATCTGAGCCACATCGCTCATTTTCGGCTGATCAACATATTCGTGCTGGTAGCCTTGCTGGGAGATGGGCAGGACCACAACGCTGGGAATGTGGCTGGGAGAAGCCCTGAGCGGCAGGTCAGTTGGGATCACGGGCGAGGCCATTGGAGGGATATCTTTTGTGCAGGCGTTGATTAGGTTCTGGTTTCTTTCCCATTCCCTGCTGCCACGGCTGGGCTTCCTCTTCTGTTGCAGGGTTGGAGTAGACTCAGGGGTTGGCAGGGCGGCCAAGTCCAGATGGTGCTGGTCGGCTTTGATTAACATTTTGGCAGTGCTGCCTGGGGTAGTCAGTTTGCCATTGTGCATCAGAGGCGTGAGAATTGCTTCAGGCTTTGGCTCCTTGGACTGAGCATCTCCAAAGAGGCCACTGAGCTTGGTAACACTGCTCATAGAGCCGCGGCGGGAGTGGGTCAGCTCCTTCTCCTTCCTCTGCACAACAGCCACGTCTCTGCGGCGATGGTCACAGATGCAGTACACTATGATTCCCGAAAAGACGGCCCCCATGACAAAAGCAAGAATAACTGCAATGGCCAACAGGGTGACCGGCACCAGCTGATCATGACCCTTCAGATAACTCTCGCGAATCACTCCTGCAATAAACAGCACACACTGGTTAAACAAGCCAAGGACAGGGAAATACTTATCACTAGCTGCTCCATTCAAAGGCACCCCCTAGGAGGTTTGTCTGTGTTTTGTAACGTTATTTTTTTAAAAGCTTGCCTAAATAAATTTAGAGACGTACTGTACCTGCCAGTCAGGTCTTACATGAGCAGCACTGGGCTTTCACTGCAGCATTCAGAGCTGGGGTTGAACACCACAATGTTGAGGAGGGGAGAGAGAATTCACCTGCAGGGGCTGCAATCAGTTTGAAACCCCAGGCCTGGGCAAATTCCCCCTGACTTCAAGAGGGTCAGGGCTATTAACTTCTTTGATATACTGCTCATTCCTCCAACCCCTCCATCTGATCCCCCCCCCCCAGCTAACATCATCTTATTTTTACTACTGTAAATCATTCACATTGAAAAAGCTTTAAATTGAGGAGACAGACAGAAGCTCTACAAATATTGGAGAAGTGCATCCCACGTTGTGTCGGGCTTCTTTCTCTGCTCGTCAGTCTGTTATCACTGTCATGTGTTTTACAAGTGACTGTCACATGTCTGAGCTTCAGGAGGATGCTTAAATAACTACCAAAGATACAGGACAGCACTGCGATGTATTGAGCCTTCTAGATTTCAGATGTCCTTGCTAGTTTAATTTTAAAAGCTCGCTGTTCCGGACAGGTGAACAGGCTGACCTCTTTGCTGAAGCTTACGCTTTTTCTCCTGAAAGCTCTGAACATGAGGGGCTCATTTTGCGGCCCTGAGCTGAGCACAGAGATTACTGTCAAGCCTTACTTGGCCCTCCTAGCACTCACTGTCAGAGAAGGCACCTTTGACAGAGTACATCTCTGCAGTTTGAAGTCTCTTAACAGAGCATTAATCAACACCCTGACTTTCTAAGGAAAGTTGTTTTTCCTGATATAGTTATGCACTAAGCCAGCAGTGTAAATGAAATATGAGCGCAGAGCATCTAGTTTGCCTCTTTCATTTCTGTTTTTGTTCTTAATGCTGAACAGAGAGCAATCAGTGCCTGACGAGGAGCTGAAGGAGCATCTTCCCCACTCCCTTCTCCAGAGAGTGTGCAAATGCAAGGGCATTAAAAGCCCCACATGCTCGCAGGAAATGTAAACCATGTTCTTATTACAGGAGAGACAGCAAGACAGAAAATGTACCTCAAAGGCCCTCCTGAGACTTTGTGAAGATACAGATCTTTCATGTCATAAATCAGCTCTTTCTGGAATAATGTCTTTTTATGTTTTTGGCAGACAAGGTATTAGCGGCCCAGAATTAGAACCAAACGCAAAATACTCCGCCGCAAACTATGTTAAAAGAGCCTTGAAAAGTTGCCATTGGCTCACAGAAACCTTGCATAAGTATTCTGTCTAGATACAATATCGCTTCTACAGCATCTTTTTCTGTCCCTATTTAATTACAGCGTTTTGGTGGACAAGTGATATTTGCATATGACATAGGAACTTTATATTTAAAAGCAGAATAGCTCTTGAAATTGTAATCCCCTGCTTGTGACATCACAGCTGGTTGCCATGGAAATTATTGCGTGGTGACAAATAGAGGATTATGATTTCACAAGGAGAATAAATAGCAAGAGAAGATGACCCCTTAAGAAACTAAGATCCTGCATTCATCTAAATCTCTTAATAGTAAAAGAGTAAGGGGAAGAAAATAAACCTCGGAAAACAATATATGAGTAGAAACAATCTTCAAATTAAATGATTCGGTGAGTATCTTTCTTTAAAGCCCAGCAGCTTTTTAAGAGGCAAATTTTTCTATTCTTTGCCTTGAGCACTTAACACAAGGCAGCAGAATCCAGCCCCCAGACAATGTTGCTTTATATAGACAAGAAGCACAGGCTAGTGGTTAAAGCACAATTAGTAGGAACTGCATTTCACTGCATAGGCTTGGTCTCCTATGGCCCTACAGCAGCTGATATTTGCATGCCTGACTCTCCAGCATTTTGAGAACAAATTTATTCACACTTGTAAAACTGTCTGCAGTCATTAGCTGGAGAGTGAGAAATTGAAAGCCTTGAATGGATGGCAAGGTTGGTCAGGGAAGTGTTACGCCTTGTTCAGAAAGGCATTGCTGGGCATGAAGTTAAGGAAAGCTTCAACTTACAGAGCCCTCAACTTACAGTGCCCAACTAGGCACTTACAGTGCCTAATTTCATGGGCACCTTGCAAGCATAAACTTCTCAGAGAAATGCCGCTTTCAGCACTTAAGCCCAATGGTTTTTGGATGACAAAGACGACTTTCAAAATCCTTGCTAAATGCCCACCTAATTGTGGAAGTACTTGCAGTCATTTAGAATCTCTGTGTCTGGAAGCATGCACAAGCCATCTATGTCCCAAGAGGAAGGGACAGGACTTCTCCTAGCTTATGTATTTTACCATTTTACTAATAATTTGCAGTTGTGGAACAGAGGTAGAAAACAGCAGCCTTGTTTTCAAAAAGCTGCTCTGCCTGGTTTTGCAGAGGAACTTGGACCCACATGACCTATGGTATGGAAAGGAGGTTTCTCTCTTTCTTTTATGCCTCTTTTTAGGAAGGGATTACAGCAGAGAAGGCGGTATGCGCTCAGGAAGCTCACCCAACCTGCTTGGAGCTCAGTGTTAAACTAATATGCATGGATGGATGCTCCATTCCTGGTGCTTCCTACTGGCCCGGTGAGGTGGTTCTCCCTGCTCAGCTTTCACCCTTAGACCAAGTCCTAGCCTAAGAATGATAGCATGTAAAATGCAAACCAGCATCACTGCATGCAAAAACAACATGAGACCTTGCAATCAGTTTTACATTACCAATTAACTGACTTATTACAATCTGCATTACAAAATAACCACACAGTTCAGACTGAGTGATCATGTGTATTCAACAAAGGGGCAGCTGAAATGATGTAGCTCATCTTGCAGGTGTTTTATGAACAGAAATTTATGAGGGCCTTCGAACAGTCTGATTCCAGCTAGTTCCTCTTAAGCCCAAACCTTCCTGAAGTCTGTGATGTTTTCTGTAATATATAATAGAGTTAAAGGATATATAACATAAGTGGCTTTACTCTAGGCAAGGGAATCCTCCCTGGACACAATGTCAGGCTAATGAGATAATTTATTATCACGGATCACATCCAAGCGTCTTTACTTATGTAAGCAATCCCAACAACTTTTAACTTAAATCAAATGATGTAAGATGGGCGAGATTTGATCCTGCATTATGTTTATGGAGCAGATAAAATTAATGCAGAATGTTCAGCATCCTACTGTCATGACCACAGTGGGGGGAAAATCTAGCATGAAAATGGGTTGACAATCGCAGTTGTTGTCAATCAACATCCAAAATTGTCAGCATCATTAGTAATTGCCTTCATAGACTGGGATGAATAAGCAAGTGTGTGATCCCAGTTACGCCCCCAAAATGTGCCAGTTTGGAAGCAAACAAATAGTGTTTGTGTCACTTTACACACTGCACTGTATGTGCTTTTACATATCCTGCAGTTCTCAAAGAAAAATCCGATTGCCTAGGCTCAGTCCAGCATCATTCATTAGCATTCATTTTTCAAAGAACGCAAATAAATGGAAAAACTCACGGGAAAAATGTAGAGTCTACCTTTTTAAAAGTCAAACAAAGTACAAAGAATTCAGACCCTCAGCTTTGAGGAACATCTGCTATTGAAAAGTCTTATAGCTATAAGTTTTGCGACATCTTTCTTAGACAGTATCAATTGGAAAATTGACTGGGCTGGCTGCATAAAATGGTACGGAACCAAACTGTAACATACCATTGATATAGATACGTTATTTTTATCATGAACAATAAAACAATTATTCTGAATAAAACAATTTTACTTTTAGACTATTCTGTTTAGCACTTCGCTCTTTGCAATTTGTTCTTTCCAAATGTGAAAATACATAACACTTGATTTTATGTGGTTTGAATTTTTCATACATGATCTTTACTATTTTCTATAGTTCATGGAGACCTAGCACCACAGATAATAACCAGCAATTCTCTGGAAATGGATCTTGTTTACAGAATTACCTGTATAAATACTACACTTGGGAAAAGCCTGTTAGTAACAGTTGTAGTAAAACTGAACAAGCTTTAAAGATAGAGGAAGTGACAACTTTGCACCTGCGAGGATGAGACCTTACATGTAGCTAAAGTCACAAACATGCTGACACTTACATAATCCCTGACGTTTTCTAGTTAAGTCCAGCTCTGTCCCTTGCAAATCACAGCGGGGCTTACTACTCCACGGTCTTCCCCCATGTGATGTACTACTGTCTACTACCACAACGGCCAAGCTAGTCACCTGATATCCTCCACTTTTCATGGCTATTCTGCTTCCCATAGACAACCTGATCTGTCTTCCTGTTTCACTGACTTAACGGTAATGCCAGCTCATGTCCTTTCTTCTGCATGTCCAAACATCCCCATTCATTTTCTCAGACAGTATACCCTGTATTGCAACAGTAAGGAACATGCAAAATCCTCCCTTCTTACTCATCTAATGAGAGCGAAGACCTGACAAGGGATTGCATTATTCTGCTGTATAGAACTCTCTCTTTCTTCCAGCAGAACTTGTCAGTAAGGTACAGACAAGTACTTTGGTTGAGAGGACATTAAGAAAAATGTTTCCAAACCTTCAAAGTGTTTCAGTTCTGACATGAGTTAGAGCTTGGATAAATCAAAAGACCAGAATATTGATCTAGCTTGTTCACTAAGGATAGCTGGGGAAAAGGGAAGATGTTCAATTTTACGTCACTAATACATATGCTTTTTCTGAAGTTCTGCAAAAGGTTCTCACCTCAACAAGCAGACCTGTTGAACGTCTCTGGGTGAAGATAAAAGAGAAAAGAAAAGAACAGGGGTGATACAATGGTACAGATTTACTGTAGACTGGATAATCATAAGGAGGAAGGAGATGAGGCTTCTCCTTTTGCACAACTAACAAAAGTATTCATGGGTTAGGTCTCTAC